TGCTTTGGTAAAACACCGAGTGTTTACTAAGTAATGTACGCAAAAGAAAAATGTCATTTATTCTTAAGTTTTTGGCGTATTCTTACCATTAACTTACATGTTCTTTGTCAGAACCTGCTAGAGCTGGTGGTACTATTTCCATCCTAGTCTAGGAAGCTGGTTCTGAGTGGAGTTTGTAGTCAGACTCAGATTTGTCTTATTCTAAAGCCTGTGCCTGTGCCACCGCATGGGCCGTTGAAGGTTCAGACATCTACCACTGAAAGTGTACAAGTCATATAGTGCCTAGTAATAAAAGGAAACCCTCAGGGAAAAGTTATACTGGATTTCAGTTGTTTCCTTACCTTGACAGAGTTATCTTAACTAGTAATTTAAAATATGGAGAGCATCTAAACTTTTAAGATATGATTTTTATTAACTATATATAATCACCTTTACATTATTACAAACACTTTACAAATAAAACATTTGTTTTTGTTAAAAAAGGAGACATTTCCTGGATTTATCATTGTGCAGTTGAAACAAAGAAATATATATAAATATGAAGGTCATTCTCCAAGTATTAGAACAGAATACAGATGGAATCACTTCTCTCTATATATATTTGGCAGAGCTGTGGCTCAAACCCAGGGCTTTGCATGTGCTAGGCTAATGCAATACCTCTGAGCTACACCCCAGCCAGCAATAACATTTTTCATAAATATCTGCATGATTTGCAAGATTACACACTTCCAAAGGAGCAAATAAACACCAACCGGAAGGTGATCCCTCAGATAAGATATATTTCCAAAAACAAATTTGCATAAACGTTGAATGTCTTTCCTTGCATGAAATTTGGTCAATGAATATCAGCAAGAGAATTTTCTATTATATACATAAGACAACCATGAACACTTGAAAATGCAGAATATATTGTCTGTAACTGATAGAATTTTAAATTTACAGACAATATATTCGGCACCAGCTTTGTTGTATGGGGAGAGGTTAAGCTAGACTACCCACACAACCATTTAAAATATATTGTGTACACCTTATTTTATGAAAATCAGATATATAAGGGAATAAGGCCTTCATGTTTAAGGGCAGTCTTAACATAGGCTTAATACAGGAACAGTTCAGTCTTTATACTTTAGATGTCATATTCTTTAACATCTTGGCTATTAACAGTACCTAAGCTAGCATACGGGTAGCAGCTGAACACAGTTTGAGCTAACATACTTGATTATATTCACATGATGTACCGTCTAAGGGAACTGACCAGGCATGATTTCTGAACTTCCCAAATGAAAGACTTGTTAAGAAAATACAACACAATCCCCTCATAGGAGTCCAGCCTGTCTCTCAGGGATTTGTTATATATACAGCAAGCCTAACACATTTAAGAGTATTTCAGTGAGATATATACTGTCAGCTTGAGCTCACAAAGTGGTTTAGTTAGCTTGGCAATCTGAAAGTCTGAGATTATTCTGGATGTTCCTATTTATTAAAAAAGTCATTGCTACCCGAATTTGAATTTTTTTTTTCCAGTACTGGGGATCAAACTCAGGACACTGCACTTGCCAGGCAGGTGCATTTCCAGCCCCTCCTTTTCTTTTTTGAGACAGCATCTTGCTACATAGTTCAGGCTGGCCTTGAACTCATGGTGATCCTCTTGCCTCAGCCTCCAGAGGGGTTACAGCTGGGATTATAGACATGCATTACCACGCATGGCTGAGTTTGTCTTAAGTGGAAGCTAGCTGGAGATTTTTTTTCCCTTCTAGCATCAAAGGGGTTTAGTGGTTAACCTCTGTGGCTCTGAGTTCTGTGCCTATTCAGAAAAAGGTCATTTGGATGTTGTTCTGAACATTTTATGCTAGAAAGGGAAATGGAGTTAAGGATTGTTCGTCAAGACATTATCAGTGGTACTAAGCCACATCAGTTGTTTGTGTTCCAAAGCCTGCAAAAACTCCACAAAGAGGAGCCAACCATTTAAGTGTAAACTGACGCTCTGCCCTTGACCTCCTATCTGGTCTCAGCCCCCAACTCACGTCATAGGAAGAGAGTCTCCTGATGTCTGTGCTTTCACCTAAGTGTTTAAGGCTCTTCCTTGTCTCATCATCAACAGGAAGCCTTAAAATACCATTAGTCTGTTTCTTTAGGATAGAATTAGGAAAAGAGTTACATATTTGCAAATTCTCCAAGATGGGACCATTTGCAATCTGACGTCAGTATTTTCTTTTGGTACTGGGGATCGAACTCTGGCCCTTGCACTTTTGAGTATTTTCAAGAATTAATCACGAATTTATTTTTTGAAGTCCATTTTTTTTCACTCAAAAAAATCAAAGGTGGACTTGCTAGTCAGTAAGCAGCTTCTTTCAATAATTACACGGTTAAGTGACTAACAGACTAGAAAACCAGGCAGACGACAAATATCTTACAGGACTGAACTGAAATGTGAATGCAGGGTATGCCCGTGGAGCAACAGAATAAAAGGAGTGCACGCTTTCACTGACTACGGAGGACACAGCTGTTCCTTTTTCTTCCCATTCAATGTTTCCATTAAAATATTGTTTACATTTACTACTATGTAGATCAAGATGGACTTGGCTGCTAAAATCATGAAGGCATGACTTTGATACTTTTCGAAATCTCTTCACATTTAAAAAAATTTTTTTGTACCACGTTTTAAGGGAAGAGAGGGTTTTGTTGTTTTGTTTTTTTTGTTGTTGTTGTTTGTTGTTTTGGCTCATGGAGGAATTTTGCACCATTTTAAATACCAAGAACTAATTTTGTATAAAGATACAGGGCCAGGGTAGTCGAAGTCGGTGAATGTGTCAGATGAGTGTCCTCAATGAACCTTGCCCACTGCAGTTTTATATTTAAAACTGCTAAATCATTTGCAGATGTGCCAAGAAAACATACAGCCTGGAAACAATATTTTGAGAATAGGAAAATACGTTTTTAAAAATGTCACTGATTTCTCTAAACAGTATCTTTGTTTAAAACTTTGATTCTTTGCATAATACATAATGAATGGACCAGTTCATCTGAAGACACATGTCTTTAGCTCTTTTCCTTGAGAAGACCAAAATATTCAGGTCCCTGCTCTTTCTTCAAAATATATCTTAAAAAGTAAAACGAAGCCATGAGTGTGGTGGTGCTTAGGCAGGGGGAGAAGAACTGTAAGCACCAGGCCAGCCTGGGCAACTCGAAAGACTTGGATTCAAAACAAAAAATAAAAAAAGGGGCTAGGGGTGGAGTTGAGTGAGACATCCTGGGTTCAGGCATCAGTACCGCACACCTTCAAAAAGGTGTATATAACTAAAGACTCATAAAACCTTCTCTCTTAATATTAAAAAATATTCTGGCCGGGCTTGGTGGCGCACGCCTGTAATCCCAGCACTCAGGAGGCTGAGGCAGGAGGATCGTTGTGTTAGAGAGCTCTTAATATTAAAAAATATTCTGGCCGCTCTTGGTGGCGCACGCCTGTAATCCCAGCACTCAGGAGGCTGAGGCAGGAGGATCGTTGTGAGTTCGAGACCAGCCTGGGCTACATAGTGAGTTCCAGGTCAGTCTCAACTATACAGTGAGACCCTGTCAAAAAAAACAAAAACAAACAAACAAAAAAAACAACCAACAAAAATTAAAAATATTCTGAAACAGGGTGCCATCTTTTTAATACAGTAGTTTCAGAATATAGTTATAAAGATAACATTGAATTAATGTGGAATATCCAATCCTTGAAATATTAAAAAGTAAGCCCTAACATGAACTATTCCAATTTTTTTCCAGTCCTTGAAGTTTGATAATTTTCATTTTAATGAAAATACCTAAGCAAACAGAATTCTATTTTAAAAGCCATATTTATGTATATCACAGCCTATTCTTGCCTCAAAACAACCAACTCTGAGGGGGCTAAAATAGAAAACCACGAGTCCTTCTGCATCAGTATTATCAAGGAGCTGTTCCCTGTCTTCTGTCCACTACCCTTTCAGAGTCAGTATCAGTTTCAGATAAGTCTAAATTTGCATAGAGAAGGATATTCTGTTTCTGAAAATATCACTATTTCCTTATTCTAATTTAAGTGCTGAAACCAGCAGATCTTAATATTTGGTGATTTAAAACAGCTCTTCTGTTACGGTGCCTTGTGGTAGCCCAACATGCTGAAAATTAAGTTTATTTTGAATCTCTTCTATAGTGTTCAAGGGGGTTCTGCAGCTCATCTGATATGAGTGACCAAAACCAGCACACTGTATTATTATATAATAACAGTATCACATCCATTCATTTTTCTTAGACTTAAACACACTGGGTATTTGCTTTATGACTGATACATTTAGAATTATCATTAAGCATTTTACATATTACAGTATAACATTTTCCTATACTTTATATCAATTATTGCATCAAAGGGAGTTAAAAGACTTAGTACAATAGCATAGGTAACTACAGTATGGAAAGTTTCCTTCACAGGAATTATAACTGTCTTGACAGTGTTTATAGGGTTTAAATTATACTCACATCTTATCTTTTTAATGTAAAATTTAAAAACGTAGAGTCCAAATCTGTTCAGCACCTCTGGCATAGATTTTATACTTGAATACTAAAATTATACTCAGACGCGTCTGATGCTCTTCAGCCCTTCCCTAACCATGTCCAGTGACTGCAGGAGAGTGTGCTTCCGGGACCTGCACTGGCACTGCTTTGAGACCACCATGCAGACAGATGTTCCTTCTAGGTACGTGGGAAAGACCAGCGGTGAGTGCTTTTGGAGAAGAAAGTGGTGTCAGCTTCCTTCTTAACAGATAAACTTCACTTTTTTGGTACCGGAGATTGAACTCAGGTCCTTGCGCTTGCAAGGCAGGCAGTGGAACCGCTGAGCTAAATCCCCAGCCCCATGAACTTCACTTTTAAAAATAGGTACATTTACTCTTCGCTGGGTGTGGTGGCATACACAGTAATCTCAGCACTTGGGAGGCTGAGGCAGGAGGATCTCTGTGAGTTCAAAGCCAGCCTGGGCTACACGGTGAGTTCAAGGCCAGCCTGAACTGCAAAGTTAGACCCTGTTTAAAAACAAAAAAAAAAATCATAGAATAGGTACATTTTCTCTTCAGTGCGTCACTGAAATACCTTGATACACTAACTGCTCACAACTTACATCCACAGGGAAGCTTCTGTTCACTGGCTTGACTTCTAGCGTTTGATCACAACTTGTTCATAAGCTCCAGACCCCACCCTAAAACAGCAGGGGAGAGAAGAACCTTCAGAATATTGAGTTATAGTGCTTGAAAGTGTTCTAAGTAAACTGGACCTCAAAGAGATGGTACACCAGGCATTTTTCTACAAGGTTTAAAGTTATCACGGGTAGAAAATACTTGAAATACTTAATGTTTATAATACATTGGATCAGTCTGGGGCTTGATCCTCTAACATTTCCATAGTAATATAGTAATTTTTCACAGCTCCTGACCTATTAACAAATTGTAGAAGGATTACTCTCTTCCAATGTGTTTGTGTAAGTCCTGTGATCAGTCTCACCCAGCAGTACATGAGGCATCACGATACTGACAGATTGATGATGAGAGCACTGAGTTCATGATGACTCTTTAGTTAGAGTGGCAGAGTAGTATGTGGTATCTTAATGTATCTTTCTAGAAATTACAGCTTCTTCCCGCCCCATGGCCTAGAACTCCTGGACATACGAAATTCTCCAAATTCAGCCTCCTGCATAGCTGTGAAGACAGGCACATACCACAGCACTCAGCTCTAGAATTTTTTTAGTCAATATGCAAAAGTGTTTTTGTCTGTCTTACAGCACTGGGATTTGAACCTAGGGCCTTGCTCACACTAGGCAAGCATTCTAGGAGGTACGTCGCCAATCCTTTTGTTTTGAGCAAATTACCCTCAAACTAGTGATCCTTCTGCCTCAGCCTCCCAAGTAGCTGGGATGATGGGTGGGTGCAATTGTTTTTATATGTGCTTACGGGGGTAAGTTATACCTGTGTAATGTAGATTTGAAGAGGAAATGATCTTGAACAAAGGTTTATTTATTTCCTCACTCATTTGGTGTGGCAGACTGTTGGTTGTTCCCCCAAATGTCTTCTTCCCTTCTTCATAGTTTAGTTGAGTGCAGGCTACTTAGCTAGAGACCACATTTCCTAAGCTCCCCTGCAGGTAGTTGTGACTGTAACTAAGTTTTCCTCTAAGGAACATGAGTAGGAGAGATGTATGTCAGCTTGTACCTTACTTGCTTAAAAGAAAACTGCTTGCCCAGGACTAGTAGCTAACTTTGACAAGAAAGGTAAGGAGTATGGTGAAGTAACAAAATGAGGCACTGCACTGCCTTTTGGGGAAAGCTGTCTTAGCAGCCAGGCCACTGTTGGGGTCTCTTTGTTATGGCTGTTACCCTACTATATTATGACACATGGAGAATATTAGAAGACTTAGAACTCGCAAGCTTTCTGACTGAAGTAACTCTGGGACAGACGCCTTAAGTAATGGCCTCATCAGTACAAGCTTTTCACTGTTGAGGCACTTAGCGCGTTGGCTCTGTTATAAAGGAATGAGCATGAATCTTCCGTCTAGTATCCTGGTGAGCCAGGATAAATGCTTCCTAAAGCTTCAAGGCCTTTTAGATGACAGCTGGCTTTGTATCTCTGGATCGGATCATTCTGTCCTTCCCCTGAGGCATCTCGAGCAGTGAAGAGAGCTGAAGTGGTGATGCTGCGTGGAGGGGAAGGGGCTGTTGCTTTAAGTCATCACCCGGTGCACGGTACCCATTTCCTCATCTGTCAAAATGTTGGGATCCACGCTAGTATCTGATGCTTCCCTCTGAGGGTGCCACAGTTCAGTAAGCCCAGGAGCAACCTCCAGGTCTGGCCTGGTCCCTTAAGGGCGTGTCAAGAGGCGATTCTAAAAGTCGGTGGTAAGACAGTGGGTACCAGTGCGCCATGGATTAAGGCGGGCTGAGCTGACTGCTCAGACATCACGTACAGAAGAGCGTGGAGTATCTTCAGCGGAGCACCAGTGACACCCATTCACCACTGCGGATAATCAGAATTTTAAAGAACCCTGGTGAGTACCTTTGAAGAGTGTTCTGTTTCTGGTCATGATGGAGTAACAGGATCCAAACTGTCCCTCCTGCCTTCAATAATGAGAATCAGAATATACAAAATGGAGTGAGCACACATCGATCAATAGGCAGCACAAGACTGTGTTCCCAAGAGAAAGGAAACCAGTGAGAAAGCTCCCCAGTGGCTCCAGCTTGCTGCCTGAAGCGGTTTCCTTCAGGATCCTCCCATCCAGCAGGGAGGGAGAACCCAAAGACAGTCTGTCTCTAATGTGGAGGATCCAGAGGACAAAGCTCGGAGGGGCTGGGGGCTAGAAGTGAGGGTCAGAATACTAGAAAATAATGTCTGGAGAATTTCCAAATTTGATGAAAACTATAAACCGACAGATCCCCAAAGCTCAATGAACTCCAAGCAGAATAAACACAAAGAGAAACATACCAAGGCCCACCAGAACCAAAGTGCTAATGAGAAAATGCTGAAAGCAGCCGGAAACAAAGGACAAATAACATATAGATGAATAAAAATAGAAATGAGAGCAGATTTCTTGCCAGAAAAAAAAGACAAGCAAGCAGGTACACACTGGACCTGGTAAGGAATCCACTAGACTTCAGACACGTTACTGCAGGCAGCCCTTCTGTGCCCCTGTGCTGCCCTGCCCTGTTCACTCTGTCATTTTTCTGAACTATGATCTTTGTGCTTCTTCCATCCTTCGAGAAATGATTCTGGTTTCATCTGTGCTGCTGTGGTTTACTTCACAGAGCTGATCTAATGCTCACACGTTAGATCTTTGATAAAGACCCACCAGCTATGCAGTCTACATGTCGAGCAGCATGCTGGGCGCTTCGAGCAGACCAATTTCCAGAATAACTCTACAAGACAGGTTCTTGGCTGGTGTATACAAAGTACTTGAATGCTTACTCAATGTCAGATATTGTTCTAAGATGTACATATCTTACCTCATTTATTTTAAACTTTTTTTTTTTTTTTTTTACCAGGGATTGTACTTGGGTCCTTGTGCTTGTGGGAGGGGGTA